CTTCTCTTTCTTTATTACTACTACTACTACTACTACTACCACTACTACCACTACTACTACTACTACTACTATTACTATTACTATTACTATTACTATTCTTTTTATTGTTGTTATCGTTGTATTATTATTATCTATAATTTATATAATTAACCTCCTTGTTGTTCGACACTAGTCTTGTCGGATTATTTATTATTTCGATACTCTTGCACTTAGGAGAAGACATCAATTTTTTGTTCGTGTCATGTTTTTGGTGTCATTGCCGGGGAGGTAAATTTTTGTATAGATTATATTATTTGTTTTATTTTCTCTTTTCACTTTTCTTGTATCTAACTTTATTTTTTTTTCTTTTGTTAGAGGTTTCACTAATGGTATGTCAAACAAGTATAGTATAAACTCTTATTATTCAATTGGAAACCACACACAAAGGATGTTCTAATCATATTATAAATTATTAACATGATCACATTAGTCATCTTATTCGATTAATGTAAATACTTGTAAATCTCGTCAAGCATTCATGATTATAACTTATGTTAACAACAAATCAAGTCACATGAATCCCACAAGAACAAGTGCACTATCATACATAGTTTTCCCTCTTGATGCATCTCATTTTAATTTTAAGCCAAACATTATTCAACTTTTACCTTCTTTTCATGGCTTAAATTTAAAAAATCCATACTTGTATTTAAGGGAATTTGAGGAGGTCTGCAACACGTATAATGACTCAAATTGTGGCATGAATACCATCAAATTAAAGCTTTTTCTTTTTTCATTAAAAGATAAAGCTATAATTAAACATAAAGGATCAAAGCATCTTTGATCAAGTTAAACTAGTAAAGATATCAAAGCATCTTAGTAAGTATACCATGCATATATGCAATTATAGGATAACTGATTAAGCATAAAGGATCCTAGCATATATACTATTATATAAGAAATTAAAAAATATTTAAAAAAACTAGTGTAAAAGCAAGATGCTTACTTGTTGAAGACTTTAAAACCAGAAACAAATAGTAGTTTATTGTTGTCATCAATTGATTCTTTGTTCTTCAAATTTATTACTTGTCACTTGGTGCAAACAAATTTATGTAATGCATCTTCTAGGATTCTATTAACTATACTTATAAAGTATGCATTTGCTTTAAAAGTCAGCTAACCAAATTGAAATTGAACTGAAAAGCTCTTTATAAGAACAAAAACTTAAACTCTAAAATGGAGGGGGGAAAAAGGACAAGATAGTAGAGATGAAGGCTAGAGATGTGCAGTAAAGGCGTACAAAACATCTCTCTATACTTTTCTATTTATACTAATGTAACCAGATTGGTAAAGATTACTAGAATTAATTCATGTTGTTTTACTGTAATTACCCACTATAAAAAGAATAAAAACTTGACAGTTTTTAGCTCTAAAATCTTACATTTTTTCTTTAAAAAACATGTTTAGAAAGATGAAGAAAATTAAGTATTTAGACCTTTTTTCATGGACTGGATATACATAAATGAGTTGGCAAAAAATAATAGCTAAAAAGTTACTTTATAACATACCCAAATCTGAATTTCAAAATAGGTTAGTCAAAAACAAATCTAGGTCTTAGGACTCATTCCTATGCCCATGTTTATGCTTGAACCCAAGCCCAGTATGAGGGTGTGGCTTAAACCCATACTACTTTACCACGAGTAATATATGAATCTTTAATTTTTTAATATATAAACTATAAAAACACCTCATTTTCTTTTTAGGTGGGATAGAAGGTATTTAGTTTCACAAAATTATGTCAACCTAAGTTTTTTAAAGATTAATTTTTTATTTATTTATAATTTATTTTAATTATGTTAATATTTCATATTAATGAGATTTTATTTATTAGAGAATAATTTCTAATAAAATTTTAATGCTAAAATTAGTGAATTTCACTTTAAATTTTACCTCAAATCTCATTAACCATGTTTTATAAAAACAAATTTCAACAATGATCCCTTGAAGTTTCGATAGGTGTGTGTCTTTTTGTCAAATTCAGTTCCAATTTGTCCTCTCATATCGTGGAACAATCCTCTCAGTGATTCTTTTATAAATAAGCCGAGAAAATTCAAGAATTGGTAGGGTTTTGAGGGATATTAATAATTTTGTTTTTGTATTTTTCCATAACCAATCTCTATAAAAAAAATCTAATAAAATAAAAGTATTAAAAATAATATAAATTATATTTTAGAATTTTATCTACCACTATAATTTTTTGAGTTAAATATTTCTTTCATATAATATTAAATCTGTTTAGATTAACAAGAAAAGTGTTGATTTACCATGGAAATTGCAGTATGATTTTAACGCCATTATACTTTGGTTAGGAATTTAAAATCTGTTTGTTATAAAAGAAAATTTTTAAATAAGGGCAGGAGATAACCATTCAGGTAACCTCTATAGACATGATGAATTTCTATCGTGCATGGTTGTAAAGTTTTTTGTTGTTCCCATTCTTTAGCACTTTCTTGATGGATATTGATTATATTATCGGTATTCATAAAAATATATTTAAAGAGTTTCTTCACTTTTCTTTTCTTAATTATAGGTATAATCAATTGTTTTTTTAAGTTCATAAGTTCATACTTTATATATATAACTATATATATAGTTATTTTAGATATAATCATGGATTACCTTTAGTTCTAAAGTGTTTGATTTGTTGTTCTTGTCTTCTCACAAACACCAACTAAAGAGAGCCTGCAACACCAGCCATTAAGCCACGGCTGCAGGTAAATTTTATGATAATATATAGCAACCCAAAAAAAGAAAAAAAAAATTCTTATGGTTGCTCTAGTTTGCTTGATTAATTTCAGAAGGGAGGTATGGATGTTACCTTCACCATTCCTGACTTTTTGGTATCATTTATATTTAAATAAGACTGGTCAACTTTTCCACCTAATAATGAAGAATCTGCTTAGTATTTAATTTATTTTTCATATTCCATTTGATTGTAGATTGCCACGTTTAGATGATCAAAGGCCATATAGAACTTTCATGCATGTTTGGACATTGAAATCTGCACTGTGGTATTCTTAATATATTGATTCCAGCAAAACTACCAATCATGGATTTTGATTCAACTTTTGAATTTGAAAGAAAGGCTTTTAACACAAAAATTACAGACAAAGAACACACAAGGTGATAGTATACAACACCCTTCTTGGCATTATTGTGTTCAAATTTAAACTTGCACCTCACGATCTTGATGTAGACATTATCCACTAGACATGGTTTGGTGTGGTATTTGGTGGTGTTGGCGCAGAGGCAATGCGCTTGCCGCGTTCGGACCGGCTATTCTCGGCAAACTTGAGGCTTTGCTGGTGCATTCCCTTTTGCTTCTCGTCCTCATCCCACTCTGATGCATAATAGGATTCTTCTGTTGACTTCACTGCGTCTTTAGAAGGCGGAAAGAACATGCCGCCCCATTGTGGGAAGTAAACCAACGTCACAGGGAGAGTGCAACCGCAAATCATGACACCCATCCAGGATAGACCTGCAGCTGTGGACAAACTTGAGCTCGAAAAGAATACTAGTTGTGTCAATCCGGACCCAAAATTTCCACCTGCACCAGTTAGGCCGGATATGATGCCCAATGATCGTCGAGAAATAAAGGGAATGATACCGAAAGTTGCTCCACAAGCAGCTTGAGCTCCAATAGAGAAGAGAATCATAGCGGTGACAGCAAGGGGAAGTGAATTAGCTCGACCGAGCCAAATACAGAAAACTCCTCCAAGTGTTTGTAAAATCCAGAGCACCCATAACCTGCCTCTCATCCCGAAGTACCTCGCTGCTACATCAGAAGAATATCCACCAAAGGGACGAGCTACAAGGTTAGCCATACCAAAGGTAGCAGCAATGACACCTGCTGTGTGAAGCTTTAGATCGAACCTATTAAACATGTCAACATAACTTTTGATTAGTCAACATATCACATGAGACGGCAGGGTGAAGATGCATACCATGATTGGTTCAAGAATCACCTGTCATAGAAGTACTCGGCGATAACATTGTCGGTGGATAATTCAACTCCCATGGAGTAGCCATATAGAAGGACAAAGATCCAGGTCCTATAGTTTGTAACAGCATACCAAAGTACCTGAACAAGAGATAAAACACATTGAATAATTAAGATTTAATGTTTGTTTTTTTACTTTGAGGTATGAGCTTTAATGGAGAGTGGGTATAGAACTTAAAGAAACTGACCTTGAAGAACTTATCTTTAGCAACATCACCCTTCTTCTTGAGGGCTCCGAGATTCCCATCAGGCAAGTCTTGGCCTAGAGTCAAGACCAAGATTCCCGTGATAACATGAAGCCATCCTGGGAAAAAAAATGCTATCCTCCAAGCACTGAATGAAGTTGAACCAGCTCGCTTAATGAGCTCGTAGACCAAGGGCATTACGAGCTGAGTTGCACCTCCTCCCATATTGCCCCAACCGGCTGCGGTTCCATTGACAAGTCCTATAATCTTGCTGTTAAACATTGTGCTCATCCAGTACTGGCATGACACAAACGTTGCAAGAGAGAATCCAATCATGAAACGGACTGCTAGGTATCCTCCAGCTGAGTTCACAAACGACATGCAAAACACAGTTGGGGCTGAGAGCATGATCAGAAACGCACACCCATATCGCGGCCCCAAGAGGTCACAAACTGCACCCATTACAAGCCTAGAGAAGATGCTTCCAGAGACAGAAGCAACCCCAGCATTACCAATGTCACTTTTGGTTAAATTGAGGTTGTCCCGAATGATAGGAACAAGGGGTGCTGCAGCAAAAGTGGAGACAAAACAAGTGAAGAAGGATATCCAAGAAAGGTGAAATGTTCTCATATGAGGGTTAGCAAAAGAGAAAATCTTGAACACTTTGGCCTTGTGCTCAGAATCAACTGGCAAGGCAAATTTTGCTGTTGTATCTGTCGGGACTATAGGAGAGGCAACCGAAAAGGCAAAGGTTTGTTCTCTGCCTGTCACTCCATGCATGGAACTACCCGGGGAACCTTCAATATCGCCCATTTTGTATTTTTCTGAATCTCTATCTGGAATATGAGAAAGGGAAGGGGAGACACAGAAGAAGTGATCAGATAGAACGCGACTTAAAGCTGATTTGTTGTTGTTTATGGGAGGACAAGTGTAGAGTATTTATACTGTGGCAAGGGTTAACATTTGGAGGTGTGTGCTTAAATTTGTACTTTAAGGATCTGTAAGGGCCAAATGAGATTCCATTGGTTGAGAAATATTAAAGAAACAGATTTGTATAGAATCCACTTCGCCACATCAGGTTCTCAACAGAAAAGGTCTCATGGAGTATCCCAAAGGATACATGGGCCCACTAGCTCTTAATTTGAAAACTCTTCAAGAGGTAAGTAATGATGTTCATACTCGCTCGACCTCCCTCCAAAAGTCAACTTCATTCCTTAATATGAATCCTAAAACACAGTTGAGTGAGAGACGGGAATCCTGAAGGCAACCATGTTTTATATATATATATATATATAAACTTTTTATATCTCATCCAGGTTTAGCAAGGTGAATAAACTTATAAATTAATTGATATATTTGATCACTCGTGTTTTGTTTAATAAATTTCTAAACTGGTTTGAAATAAATCCAACCTGTGCTAGGTTTTGGATTAGAAGATTACCGATTTAATTATTGAGTTGGTTAAATGACTATGATAAATGGATAAAGATTCAAATTATACTCCTTTTTTAACTTTAATTTCTTCGTTAACAATGACAGGCTCACCACTTAACTTCTGCTGATTAAAGTTTTTTTGTATACATTTTCACAATCTCCCCATTGAATAATAATAATAATAATAATTACTGTTATTATATAGACAAGGAAGTCTAGATCATCAGCCATATTTAGAATTTTATGCTGGATGCTTAATTATTATGAATATAATGCATGATAATGGGCTGATAGACATCTTGAACCAAGGTCATAATTAGCGTGTACGGCATCCATCTTGATTCAACAACGACCCCAACTGGCCTGTTAAAAGCCACCATTAACAGTTTGATTCCCAGGGACTAGCGTAAGCTTTCTTTGATTATGGGAGTGCTTACCTCATTGCATGTGGATATTATCGATTTAATTTCCTCTTAATTATTATGGTATCTTCATCTCTTTCAAATTTGCTACGTGACATCGATCCTTGATGGATCCATCTATTGACAATAACTTATTACTTAGAATTTGCGAAAATGTCAAAAAAATTTTGCATAAAACTGAACCTGGATGCTTTACTAGTGTTATTGCCAACACACTAACCGACCTGAGGGATTTATTTAATAGACTTTGACATTTCCCGTAAATTGCAAGTCAACCAAGCCCCATATAAAATTTAAAGTCCTCCTATCATCCTCTGCAATTCCAAATCAATTGTTGACACTAAGACCCTAGATGAATGCTTTAAAATGCACTTTATTTGGCTTGCCATGGCCTACAATCTCCTCCAACTGGCGCATGGTCAAAGGAAACATATTTTCTTATTCTAAAAGTGCAATTTTCTCCCTTCCTTGTAGTCCACTCGCCAGTTTCATGGAGATAGAAAGCATGTCATCCAAGCTTGCCTTGCCCTTTCAAAAGCTCTTAGAGTTTTTTTGGTATCTTATTTCAGGGTACTTGGGACAGGACAACTTTCTTTTATGGTTGGAATTCACTGGAAATGAAGGGGGAGTACCTTGAAAACCTGTTGTGTGCAATATTTTAAAGCTTGGAAATTATGAAACGATAGTCTTTGTTCACATGTTATAAGAGCTCTTGTATTTTTATGCATATGTATATAAGAGCTCCATTATAAGACCTTGTTTTGATTATCAAAATGCTCAGTTTGATTCCTATATATATATATATATATGGAGAGAGAGAAGTATGTGGGCATGCTTATTTGTCGGTACACGTTATTATGTGTAGGATGATAAGTGTGATTATTGATAAATATATCTGAGTAAATTCCACTTTCCATTAAAGCTGGCAGCTATGGAATCAAATTTATTAAACAAATTATTCTAGAAAAACCAATAAATATATTTTATTCGGTGCCGAAAAACCAAATTTATTATTATTTTTAATGTAGAAAGTCATTTTATGATAATTCTAGATTGCTTGAACACCAATTTTGTCATCAGATAGATCATCCATGTAAAATTGATATGTTAAAAGACTCCTTTTTAGTCTCTTTTCATCAATTTATTTTGAAAAAATCATTCCAAAGTTCCAAATAATTATAAATTAACATTAAACATCTAACTCAAATATGATATAATCCCTATAATAAACATAAAATTTATTTAACAATCAACCCAGAAAAAAAAAGGTTGAAATAATAGAAGAATGATTTTATGGATTATTAATTTTAAGTTATATAATCCATAAAATTATTGGTTATGAAAAAATCAAATTTATATTTTGACAAGGCAAATTATAAAAAAGAAGAAGAAGAAGAAGAAGAGAGAAAACCAAACCAAAGTCTTTTGGTTTAAACCCGAACAACACTAACCCTATTAGCCAGTTTTGCACTTTCAACTCAGTTAAAATGAACCAATAACAAATACATTCAATTTAAATTTGGTTTTTTTTTTATTGTACTAAATGCAAATCAAGAACTGCTAACAAATAAACGATACATTCAATTTAAATTTGGTTTTTTTTTAGCAAATCAAGAACTGCTAACAAATAAACATGTTTTAAAGGTACCTTGGATTTATTATTTTCTGGTCAGAAACTCAATTACTTTCATATCTAAATGTTTAGAGGTTAATATGCTAAATTTTAAGTTGTTTTTGTGTAGTATTTTAGGTTTTATTTTAATCACATATTTAATATGTGTTTAGTTAATTAATATTTATTATAATTTTACATGAATTTTACTGAAAACTTTCCTAAAACTTTGTTTATGAAGAAATTAAAAAAATAACATCAGTAGTTTAAGTTTTGTAACCACTCATAATGCATCCTACACGGTGATGAGAAGACATTATTGATACAAACCTAACTCCAAAACAGTAGAAACAATTTAGGAATGCTGATGATGCGATCACGTCTGATTATGGCCCTATCAATCCACCAAAGAAGAACTCATAATATAACTCAACCTAATCAAAAGAGAATAGTCTATGAATACAACGCAATGCATAGACCAAGACATATATCTATATTAATACATTGACTAATGCATTATTTCAATGAATATAGATATAATGCTACAACAAAGAAACTTAACCTGAATATAATCATGTGGTTTTTCCATCTTTCAACTCCATATTTCATTTGCGATACCTGACTGGTAGCTGAAGGAGCAACACTTGGCAACTAGATAACCTTCAAGAAATACAATGAAGCTGTCTGACTCAATTTATGACTTAATTGACACATGCAATGGATTTTGTAGTTTTGCTTGTTGATATTCACCAACAACAGTAACAAATTTTGAATGGAAGCGATGAGTGAACCTGAATGTGAATAATATAAATCATATATTAAGACTAGTTTTTGAGTTGAATTGATTCTTTAATATGATATTAGAATCTTAATAATTAAGCGGTTACGAGTTCGAATCTCATTAATCTTATTTATTTGATAAAAATTAAGTAAAAGGTAATGTGAATCTGTGCTAATTTCAAACCCAAAGAGCTTTCATTTGAGGGGAGCGTGTTAAAGAATAATATAAATCATATCTTAGGACCTAATTTAATATTTTAGTTTTAGGATTGAATTGATTCTTTTACAGAACATATGCCTCCTAGTTCTTGATGGAAAGATGGTTAAACCAAATTCTTATTTAAAACTTTATTTATTTAGTCAAAATCCTAATTTTTTTATTTATAAATTCTTTTTTTTTTTACAAACCATATATTTTATTACCAACATTATTTTTGAATCATAAACACCTAAATTTTAACTTATTATTACCAAAAAAACACATTAAAAAAATATTTTAACAACTAATATAACCTTATTTTCAATCTCAAATCAACATTTAATTGGTCTAAAATTCAAAAATTAAAAAGAAATTATAGACCCTGATTTAAAGGAGAAAACCACTTTTATTTAAAGTATGTTTTGACATCAAAGAAAACTAAGCCTCTAGAATCTTATGCAAAAATTTCAATCCAATTCAGTGGTTGGGTCTAAATTTATTACCTTCAACATAAAAATATTCATTAGTGGAAAATCTGGTACATAATTGGCCAATGAGATTTGGCCTAGTCTTCTATTGTTTTTTTTTTTAAAGAGAATGATATGTCATTTGTTTGTTTAAAGTCCAACCATCGAAAAGGTGGCTAGAAAATCAAGTGATAAGTTTTTTATATCTAAAAACCTATTGTAACATATTTTTACTTGAAAAAACTAATAAACACTCTAGGAGTCTTAAAAACTTATTTTTCAATCTTAAAATACTTATCAATCAGTCAAAAACATAGAACCTAAATTATAGTTTTTTTTTCTTTAACCCCTATAAATGTTTTTTATAAGATTAAAGTTGAAAAACACTTCAATGAAAATTCTCATGTTAAAAGGACATAAATATTTATTTTTTTTATCACTAAAATATAATTAACCAACCACTTTCTCTCTTCTCTTTTATTTTCTAAAGACTTTCTTTTTTCTCTCTCAAAACTGGAAATAAAGTCTAGAAAATAAAGTTTAAGGCATAAGTGTAAAAGTGTAAAATTAAAAGGATAAAAAATGTCTAAATATAGACTATCAATTGGGATGAAAATAATGTTTTTATGCAAGAATGGAAAAAACATATTATTTTTTATTTTTATTTTGGTCACTCTTTATTTAATTGCTTTTTATATTTTAAATTGAAATTTTATTTCATTAATTAATTTTCCCCTAATTCAACTCTGAAATATTTTCAAATATCTTGAATTTCTAAGAATGTGCAAACAAAATAAAAGCCTCAAACAAAAATATCACCATCATCACATACACAATCAAATTAAAAATTTTAAAAAAAATTCAATGAAGAAAAGCAACATTGTTCAATCACATACACAATTAAATTATTTTTTAAAAAAAAATCAATGAAGAAAAGCAACATTGTTCAATCACACATAGTAACGAACAGTAAAATACCTTTCTCTTTTACATGTATTGTAGAATTTTTTATTTTGATAAATTCAATTGGTTTGATAAATCTAGTTTGGTTTTATACTAATGAACTCCATAATAACCAAAACCATATTTGAATAGAAATATTATTCAATTTCTAGTTTTTTATTTGGTACTAAAACACCAAATTTATTATTATTTATTAATATACAAAATCATGTTATAATTCTTGATTGTTTGAACACCAATCTTGTCATTAGATGATATCTTCCATGTAAAGTCGATACTCATTTTTAGTCTCTTATCATCAATTTATTTTGAAAAAACCCATTCCAAAATTCCAATCAATTATAAAATAATATTAAACATCCAAGTCAAATAATATAATTCATAAATCATAAACATACAGTTTATTTAACAATTAAGCCAAGGGAAAAAGGAACGAAGACAATAAAGGTTGAACTAATAAGAGGCCATAGTTTTATGGATGATTAATTTTACGTTATAAACAGACATCAAAAAACCAAATTTACAAACCAAGGACTTTCGGTTTAAACCCGAATAGAGCTCAACCCTTGCAGCCAGTTCTCCACCTCCATCCTGAATCTGCCATTCTCGTCATGGTCTAGCCACAAGGTGCCAGTTACCTCATGTCTCAACGTTCATACGTTGACGAGCTACTCAAGACAAGATTACGTAGTTTATATTTTATAACTAATCATAATGCATCCTACTCTATACTGAGAAGACATCGATCCCTACAAACCCAACTTCAAAACAGTAGAAACAATTTAGGAATGCAGATGATTATGGCCTTATCAATCCACCATAGAACTCTGCATAGTATAACTCAGCCTTATCAAAAGAGGACAAAGTATAGAGACAACGCATTGCATTGACCAAGACATGGATATGCTAATACGTTGACTAATGCATTTCATGTCATATGATATATAAACATTGCACGATTGCCTTCAGAGACAATGTGGAGATCAGGTACATTACGGACGGACTGCTAGATCAGATTCTCCAAGTATTCTTTCAAATTTTGGGCATGCTATCTCTATGGATGTAGATAATGCTATCAATTAAAGAAACTTATCATGAAGATAGTCATGTGGGGTTTTCAACTTTCAACTCCTTATTCTATTCATGACATACCTAACTGGTAGCTGAAGGAGCAGCACTTGGTAGCCAGATAAACTTCGAGAAATACAATAAAGCTAGACACCATGAGTACGAAACAGAGCCTTCCTATCAATATGGAGTATTTCAGAACAACAAGTGCACATGTCCATGGGATAAACCAAATTTTCAAGTTTCATAGTACAAACAAGCTCCACTCCACCATTTGAGTGTTGGCAGGAAGATGAATGGAAACTTTACAAGTCTAGCAATCTAACCTCATGGCAGAGGTGACAATTTAAGTGAAGAGAACTTCAGGGTCAATAGAACGAACCTAATTCCAACAGTTGCTGTGATGCGAGGCTATAAATATTTCTCGTTTTGGCTAATCTCATATTAGAGTCCATCGCAACCAATTCCATCACAACATGGGCAAAGAAAGAAAACCTAATGAAGGTTTATTATATACGCATACTAAGTGCTGGCACTACCCCTCCTTTGAACAGGTTTGTATAGCACAACAGTGACAAATTTTGAATGGAAGCGATGAGTGAACCCAAGTGCCACCACAGAACGTGGGGTCTCCTGGTTCTCAATGTAAAGATGGTTGAAAATCACATTCTGTGGCAGTGGAAGTGTTTCAGAAGAGTCTGCACTTGCAGGGTAGCTAAGCAACGAGTGTTGCAGGTGTGGAGGCACTAAAGGTGGGTCCCGTACCTCATCTTCATTCCCTGGGTATGCATTGTTGTAGCTTGAATCAGGTGATCTAGGAACTTCAAATCCCGCAACAGTTGCATCTTCCTGCACCATGATCAAATTATTAGATCCCAACATAATATCAAAAGCCCCAAAGTGGCAAGTTTTCTACTTACATTATCTTCACTGAATTGGTTGCTCATGTTGAAAATGACAACGCAGATGGTTAACAACACAAAGTCATCAAGTCTGCAATGCTCTAAAACCTGAAAACATAACAATCCCCACATAAGCATCTTAAAACTGTAATTGCAGCACCCAAATATTTAACTATTTCTCAAATTTATTTCAACGAAGCAAAACTTTATTTTATATTAACAATCTCAAATTTGTTAAGCACGAAATCATTGCCATTCTTTCTTAGCATTCATGCTTATGAAGTTCGATTGGGGATCTCAGTAATGACCTTTCAGCTAACTCCCAACCCATACACTTCAAAACTTTCCCACAAAGGAGAGGTTCTAAGCATTCCACGCACACCGAATCACATTCTTTAACACAGGTGCCAATACATACAGCTACAAAACCACCTCTATTTGCATTGCGCACCAAAAAATGACCCAAAAACAAAAACATAGCTTGACACAACACAAAACCCAATTTCTACGAAAGCACACGAATTCATCTTGTGAACCAAAACTATAGCCGACAATTCAATTAATAAAGAGTCTACCTAATAACCCTTGTGAATGGCTATAAATTTCGTTACCATAACCTTAATCATCCTGACCCATGTCATAAAGAAATGTTACTCTTTTCTTCACAAAAGTAACACAAAATAAACCAAAAACAAAATAACATGACATTAAGCAAATAAAGCATTGATTCCCTAAAAAACCATCAAAGAACTACAGTAAAAAGAAATCTCACACGGGCACAATCTTTCAGCTCAAAAAATCTTGACTTTGATCAAGAATCAGAATATCCAGCTATAATTCTATTCTGGGCAAAAAAAAAAAAAAACTCAAAAATTGAATAAGCAAAATTTGAAGCCAGAAAGAAAGAAGGAAATTTGTAGCCGAAAAGAAAGAAGAAGATGGCTGGCTACCTTGAAAAAGCTGTTGATGAGAATCAATCTCCGATCTGGAACTTAAAAGGGTAATAGAGGAAATAAAAAATATGAGTGAAACAAGCAGAAGTCGTAGTTTGAGAATATGAGCGGTCGCCGGAGTTGCCTTTAGCCTTTAATTTTGGAGCAACATGTTTAGAAAGTTGAACCCTAAGGTGGTTGAGGTGACACGGTAACGTTCCTGTTACTGCTGCTGCTTCAGCTTGCGTGTACGTGTAGGCAGACTGAAAAGGAAAAGACAGAATACCCCTAACTTGATATTACAATTTAAATTACAATTATTACAAATCACCATTTACAATTTAGATTTGGCCAGCGCTATATTTACGGGGCGGAGTAAAAATATTTTGAAAGAAAGTTTAATTTTGGGTTTTGTTTATAAAAGTCACTCGTGTTATAAATTTTAGAATTATTAAAAATTTATATAATTATTAATTTAAAGATTTTAAAAAAATAATTAATATATATATAAATTGAAATGATATTTATAATTAATAAAAAATATTTAAAAATATTTAAAATATGGAAAATACATTATATGCTTACAAAAAAATGTTTGGTGCGTCAATTTAAAATCTTTTAACTCAATTTTTTATTTAATTTAGATTTCAAAACAAATTATTTTGAATTTATCTTGATATTATTTAATATAAAAAAGTAAAAATAATTTTAATAATTAATAAAAATATGATTATTTTTAAAAAAATTAAAATGATATATTTTTAAAAAACATTAAGTCAGTATATATTAAATTGATTTACATCAAATTAAATTAATTTAACAAATTTACAATTCTAAGTGATGAACTACATCAAGTTTTAAATATTAAAAAAAAATCTATTTTGTACATTAAAATTAGTTTTAAATAGGTTCTTTATATATGAATCAGTATAGATGGATTCAATAACGGGTCATCCTTCCTTACTTTCTCTGTCTTTATATAAAAGGTTCCCTCTCTGTTCCTTGCGGGTCTAACTCCATTTCCTTTCACATTTTTTTGTAACTTTAATCCTTTGAAATTCGAATTTTCCTTGAGTTTTAATTTACATTTTCTGCCATTGACTCTTCCTTTCTAAACTTTTTTCTTTCGCCGAATCGCTAGTCTTCACAGTAGAAGCCATGGATGGAGTCATGTACGGTGCATAGGACAATTCATTGGAAAAAACAAAAAAAAAGGTAGAAGAAAAGCGAGAATCAAGAACACAGAGACATTCTTTATCATGAAAAACAAAATGAATGTAATCGTGGCTTTTTATACAGCAAAATGCAACTGTAGCAGCTTAATTAACATCGTCCTTAGACCTTCCTCGTTTAACATTTTTTTTTATTTATTTATATGGGTGTCCGGGTCAGCTTGTGCACATCACAGCTAATCCTCACGGCCTACTCAATACCCTACAAACCCAGTAGGCATGTAAGGCACCGTGGGGATGACAGACATGCACGCCAGGACTCGAATCCAGATACAGTAAAAGGAGACAAGCCCCTTCCACCACTAAACTCAATATTGGAATGCCTCGTTTAACATCCCTGGAAGGACAGGGAGCATACATACATGACACTTGTGAAGGCATATATTGTTGACTTGTCAAAGTTCAAACACTAGTGAGATTGCGACATTCATGAAGAATATCAATGAATGGTAGTGAAAAAATAACATCTTATAATATAGATTGCCTGTCAGTTACCGCGTGTCAATTTACAAACAATATAAATCGTTATGATAGGAGCAATTGAAAGTTAGAGCAGCAAATATTATGTAAAACTCAACTGCCATGGGTCTGCTTACAATAGTAATAATAATTTTTTATTTTATTTTTAAAATTAAATCTTTTTTAATAGTAATATTTTTTTAATTTATTAATAATAATATTAAATATGTTTGATTCAAGTTTTTATAGTTTTTAATTTTACCCTTCAAATAAAATATATGATTTTTTCAATAATAATAATATTTGTTTTTACAAATTTAATAATAATAATAATAACAATAATAATAAGACTCATATTCTTTGAGTTGGCGTCCTTACAAGACCCAAGTTACTCAGGTTTGTTGATACTAAACCTAACTTTTTTTGGTATAACATCGCTTGTCTGACTCAATTAATATGAGTCTGATACTTTTACCAGACCCATAATATTTCAGACTCCAGATGTTAGTGTCTGACAGTCATTCCTAATCCAAGCACCTAAAATATGATTCTTTTACCAGACTTGAGTGTTTAGGATCTGACATAGGATCTGATAGACATGCCTAACCCCAACATTCAGATTTGATAGTTATGTTTATTTTTTAAAAAAAGATAAAAAGAATCCTTAACTTAAAAATTAAAATTTTATACTATGAAAAGTAAAGGTAAATTAATATCTATATTGCACCCAAAAAACTTGAATAGAACATTTTATTCCTAATCATTCTTCTAATACTAAATATATCTCATGAAAAAAACAAGTCACCCTTAACTGTATATTTAACAAGTTTATTTGGCAAAAACAACTATACCATTATACTACATCAATTCATAATATTTTATGTTATAATGAATAATAAAATGATAAACAGTGAAATATTGATCTCCTTTATTATAATATATAATATTTGATAGAATTGCACATTTCTTGTAGCCCTGTTTGCGAGCTATTTTTATGCTCTTAATGGCATACATACCTCAGACATGAAGACAAGCAATAAATAAAGTAGCTAACCTAATTAATGAGACATTGCTAGAATTAAGTTTCAATTATTTACATGCACCTATAATATTTTTGAATGGAAAAAAAGAACATGTAAACAATAAAATTATAGAACTTATTTAGTGATGAAATTAACTAGATCATCACAATCTTTCCATTACAACATCATCAAACTATATATATAATAGTGTAGGACCAAATTTAATTTCTACGTGCATGACAGTTAGTGACATATCTGATAACGACTAAAACATTACACAATGTAACAATAAAAAAAAGAAATAATTTAATAAGAGAACTTTCTTCATCTAGATCAACATTAGAATGATGATACGAGAATAGTTGCTCTTTTATTTATTAGCATTTTTATTTCAAGTGTTAAGAAATAGATTTATTTTATTTTATTTATTAAAAATAGAATAATATTTTTAATTTAACCTATATATAATTTATTTGTTTTCAAATTAAAATAATAACTTGAGAATAAAGTGATCAATGAAACCCTAGCCTTATTATCTTATATGTTTGTATTTCTCTTTGTTTAATTTGGATTGTTTCACATGGTATCATAACATGATTTCATGATTTAATTATTTGGAGTGATATTTGTTCTATTTCTACAAATCTAGTATTTTTTTCTTTTTAGTTTCTGCAATTTGGTATTTGCATTTTATTTCTGCAAATCTAGTATTTTATCTTCACTTTAATCTTTGCAATTTGGTTTTGACATTATGTTTCCATAATTTTTTTTTTGAGTGATTATATAACTTCAAGATGGCTATTGAAAGATATGATGCACTTCAGTATATGAATGTAAGGTTGGATAAAAAGAACTATTCATATTGGAGTTATGTAATGAGAAATTTTCTAAAGGTTGAAATGATGTGGGGATATGCTAAGGGAACTTATGTGATACCTAGAAATACTGATCAGGGATATGTTGCTTTGATAGATATATGAGAAACAAACAATGTAAAGATTATTAATTAGATTAACAATTTTATTGAGCATTTCATAAGTACACTATTAGTTAAGTATAAGACAACAAAGAAGGTTTAAGATAATCTCTAAAGGTTAGTTATGCAATTAAATTTTGCAAAACAGTATCAATTAAAAAAATAAATTTGAGCTTTTCCCATAAGAATATAAGTATTCAGTAGTTTTATTCTACAATGACAGATCTTAGGGATCATTTGGTTATTACAGAATTCGTAAAATTAAAGGCATGTGGTGCCTATATTAATTGTAGAGAGTAGCAATAGTTGATATAGTTTATACTAGCACTTTGCAATGATTTTAAAGTACTTAAATGGTGAATTTTGTATTGTTCTCCAGTGTCTTTTATTAACTTTGTTGTCATTGAGTCATTAGCTGAACAAATATGTCTTCAATCTTGTTCTGAAAAGAAAAATTTTTCTGCTTTAAATTCTTTTATAATAGGTAATTAGTACTTAAAAGTGTATTTTTATCAAAGTTTTATATCATTATTTTACACTTGAAATATCAATAACTCCTTAACAAAAACATGTTTTATAATACAAGTCTGGTACCATAAAATACCTTAATTTATGGTAAATATTCATCCTAAATGCAAGCCTATCATATAATTAAAAGGATTGATTGATGAGTTGAAGTATTAAAATTGAAAGGACAAAGAAAGGGTTCGGTAATTGGGTCATATCTAGAGCTGTAGATCTCAGATTTAAGTCTACTTTATATGAATGAAAAGCTGAGACATAGGCCTAAAACTTTCATGGAAAGAAAAGACTCAATTTTGTTGTTTGGTAGTCCAAATCTGTCCTGTAGCCCAAACACTATTCAGTATTTAGTCCATATTTAGAGTTTTAGAAGTTTAAATGACCTTAATTTTTTTTTTTCTGAAAGGATGAGACAATTTTCTAGAACTTTCATGTGGAGGTCTGGTTCAAATTCTAACGTTATCAATAACGTTTTATTCATACAAGAATATAATGTTTATCACCAAGTCAAGAATTGGCCACCCACTCATCAATTTGTCATCTAATCAATAGTTCTCAATTTTGGCTTATAAAAGGAGGCATTTGCCATGCATTTAGGCATGTTAGTTTCTAAATAAAGATCATGCTCTTGCTTTCTGACACGACCAAAAGATTGATATCTTTTTCCAAGTGTAGGAGTGTCGAAGTAATAAATAACCCGGCAAGACTGGGGTCGAACCACAGAAAGGTTAATTGTATAAATTATAGATAGCAATAATATAACAATAATAAAAAAAGAAAAAGTTGATGAGAACTTTGAGATGAAAGATTAACGTAGGGATTAAACAATGATAACAATAAATATCAAGGTTAGAGGATCCACTAATGGTATATCAAACAAGTATAATATAAACTCTTATTATTCAATTGGAAACCACACATAAAGGAGGTTCCAATTAGATTATAAATTATTAACATGATTACATTAGTTATCTTATTCAATTAATGCTAATACTTGTAAATCTCATCAAACATTTATGATTATAATTTAT